GGACCTCGGAGGGTGCAAAAATGTGGACTGTATGGCATGGAGCTGGGAGGGAGCAAAAATGTGGACTGTATGGCAGGGACCTCGGAGGGTGCAAAAATGTGGACTGTATGGCATGGAGCTGGGAGGGAGCAAAAATGTGGACTGTATGGCAGGGAGCTGGGAGGGAGCAAAAATGTGGACTGTCTGGCAGGGAGCTGGGAGGTAGCAAAAATGTGGACTGTATGGCAGGGAGCTTGCAAAAATGTGAACTGTCTGCAGGTCCCCAAGGACCAGATTGGGACAGAAGGTGTCAATTAAAAAGCTCCTTTCCTAGTCAGCCGCAGTGCCTCCGGCTGTTAACTCTTATAACCTGATACGCAGCCACCTGGTGGAACAGAGGCTGAATTTGTGGCATAAATAATAGCTTCTGGTTGTTGTTTATGAACAAGAACAGACTTAATTAATGCCAGAGAGTTAAAATAGTGACCCGTTTCTGTGATGATGCACAGACATCCTGAAAGAGACTCAAGCTGGTGTCATCACGTCCTACTCGATGAATTCAATCAGGGAAGCCATACGCTGGCCATTTAAGGAGCCAGAAATCACGGCAGCGTGTCATATGTTTTGGCGCAGTGCCTGGGAGTGTCACCACGGCTACCGGTTGCCATAGCAGCATTCTCCTTTTCTGAGATCTGGAGCGAATGAGCTGAGATGTGTGTCAAGTTTGGTAATGCAGAGATCACATTGCTGTCGAGGCATAAAATTCGAGAACACACAGTTTGGCTGTTGTGTTTGCAGATAACCTAATATAGCGGTGGTGTGGGGGTGTGTGATTGATTTGACGAATCCTTTTGAGAGTGCACGAGAGTGACTTAGACGGGAATAGTGTAAATGGTGCTACTTGAGGGTCCTGCGTTTCCATTCAGCACCATGGACGTGCACGGCACGGTAATGGGGTCTGTTAGAGTTACGCTGTAAAGATCCCCCACATTCGGCCTCCTTTAGCTGCAACGTGATCCCTGTATTAGTGGCTGAGGGCACTCAGGAACCTGGGGCCTGGAGACAAGGCTGATTCTTGAGGTCGGGAGCTGCTGTTCAGTCAGTTTGCACTCCTGTCTGTCAGGGTGGGTTATTCAGCCAGATATATGGCGTATGTCTGTGCTTTTCAACTGGTTTACCTTTAGGACTGCTATGGCTCTTTGGTCATGACCCGGATTTTTTAAAGTTTTTGACTAAACTTATTTCACAAAGAAATAGTGCAGTAAAACAAACAGCAGTAGATCAATGCCTCCAGGCACTGTTAGAAAACCATAACAATAAATGAAATTTTTAAACGACATTGTCAGTGGCCCAGCGAAAATTGGTCCCACCATCCAGTTTTGCATCGCGACTTGCCAGTTGAGAGACAGTGACGTAGACAGACCCGCCCACACGGGCCATGGGTAACAGCTAGCGCTCCTCCATTAGTCAGCTTTTCGTTTGGGTGGCGCGGGATGCGGGTCATCTGAGACCCAGCCGGGAGTGTCTCCGCTGAGGACCCGGGGGCTTGCGGGAACTTGCTGCTGATCTCATAGAGATAATGCAGATGTTATGACTGATATGGTCATTTTGCCATTGACTCAATAAAACCTGGAGTGAATGTAGCCATTTCAGCCACAGCAGCCAGTGGCACCAATGCAGCTGTTTGTCGGTACTTTGTTTGGCTCAGCAATGTCAGGGAGCGTCTCTAATGTGCGCTTATTTAATTCTAACTAATTAACATGAAAAATGTCGCCTTTGCTTTGAAGCTTCTGTCTGCTTCTGCTCTCTTTTTCCATGTAGATGCACCCAAAGGTTTGGCTCTTTACATTTGTGTCTGTATTATACGTGTGCTTGGATTTATTTTTATCTATTCTTCTCTTCTGCTCCTCCCTTTCTCTCTTTGTCCTTTGCTCTCTGCTTCTTTCCATTTCTCTCTCCTTCTTCTTCCCGCCATCCCACCTCACGC